CTCTCTCTGCCATTGCCGTCGCCCCCCCTGCCCCCCTGATTTCCCTAGTGGGGCTGGATCTGGAGGGCAGCCTGTGGAATGGAGCAGGCCACCCTGCCCCACATAAACCCCTCCCTTGAGCGTCATCAAGAGGACAGGCCCTTCTGCAGAGTGTCCATTGGCCAGCACTTGAACTGAGCACCAGTCCCCTCTGCACTCCCCCCGTCCCCCCACACCGGCCATCCTCGGAGAAGTCCCAGCAAAAGCAAGACGAGATTGCAGAAAGCCTCCCCCCGCCCCCCCGGCAAACGCAACCCCAGAACCAGCTCCCAGAATCTAAACAGACACCCTGGAAGAAAAAAAAGAGGAAAGATATGGAAGAGAGCTTGGAAGACACCCGCTCCCCTGAGGTGTGTGTGTGTGTGTGGGGGTCACGGGGAGGGGAAGGGGCTGCCAGAGGCTCTCGGGAGCAGGTCTTTTCAGCTGCAGCTTAGAGGGGGAGAGGAAGGTGCCAGGAAGCCCGGCCCCATTGCCATGCAGTCAGAAAATGAGACCACCGCAGGAGACATACAAACGCACACACGCACACAGAGAGAGAGAGAGAGAGAGCAACAGGAAAGACGGTGGGTTACAACGCTTGTAGCTGGGGGGGGGGGCTGAGTTCCACGAAAAAGAAAAAAGACAGGAAAGGACAGGAGGAGCAGAGCTTGGAAAACTCCCCTCGGAGGTCCCACCGTCCCCCACGGAGCTCCCCAGAGACCGGGAGCTGCAGGCCAAAGAGGGAAAGCTCAGAGGATTCGGCAGTCAGAATGGACATGAACGTGGGGATCTCGTTCGACCACCGAGGGCACGTCAGGGAGAAGGAAGGTGCCACGTGAGGGTCTCTCCTCTCTCCCACGGGAGCCACGCAAACCCTTTGCCACTCTCCCCAGGGCAGGGCAGGGCAGGCCAGGCCACCAGCATGCAAGGGGGCTCCCTCTCCTCCCACCCCCACCCCCCATAAGCCCCAGATGGGTCTCCCACAAGCCGTGGCTTCTCCCTGCCTAGCAGCTCACCACCTGGGGCACGGGGGGGGGGCAGGACGAGCAGCTGCCAGAAGGGCACGAGGGAAGAAGCCCCCCCTCCTCTTCTACAGGGAGGACGACGGCGAGAGCAAAGGCCACAAGGAGGCCAGCGGTGAGGAAGGAAGGAAACGGCAAGAACATATACATACACACACGCACCCCGAATCCTGCACGAATGAATGCAGAAAGGGCTCATCACCTCGGTGAGCGGCCCCTCCTTTTGCAGGCGCGCACACACACACACACACACACCTGCCTGCCTGCAGGAGAGGGCAGGATCAGGGCCATGGGCAGCCAACTCCCCACTCGGGGCCACTGCCGTCCGGGGACCTCCTGCAGGAGGGCAGTTCAGCCATTGCACATGAGGGTGGGAGGGGCTGGAGGGTGGGAGGGAATGGGGAACGGGGAAGAAGAGAGGGGTGTGTTTCAATCCTTCTCACCCCTCTGGGGGGAAAAGAAGGGGAGGCTCTCAAGTAAACATGGTGGGTGAACGAGTCCCAGTCGAAGGTTGGGGGGGGGGAGAGGGTCGCCCGCAGCCCTTTTAGGAGACCATGTAGTGGGTGATGGCACGGAGCGCGTACAGTAGCTCTGCCTGGAGCCGAGCTTCCAGGATGAGGAGGTTCACGTGGACCTGAGCGGAACAAAAGGAAGAGAGCCACGTGAGGGCAGGGAGTCTGGCCCACGGCAGCCACCCAAGCCTCACGGCGAAATCGTCAGCCCGCCATGCAGTGGAGGTATGAAAACGGCTGGTCGCCTTGGAGCGAGCGGGGTCCGAACCCCGGGACCTGCCGTAACTCGATGGCCAGAGGTACCGACTCTGAAAGGGTTGGCAGAGCTTCTTCCAATAATATGTGCACCCAACAGCTGGCCAGAGGCGCATGAGAAGCCACAAAAGGAAGGACTCGGGGCCATTAGGAAAGGCCATGGATACAGGCAACGTTTGCCAACCCGTCTAGCTAGAGGTCCTTAGTAGCCATGGATTTATCCTCTTACTGCTGCTCCTATTTGCAGCCGTCATTCCATCTGGTGGCAGTGAGTTCCGCTGTTTAACTACTATCCACTGTGTCAAGTTGTACCTCCTTTTCTCTGTTCTATATCAACCTGGGTTCAGTTTCAGCCATGCTCCTATACGGGTGCTAGGGCTGAGATAAAGGCATGCACACACCCCTTTTCCCTTCCAACCCGCCCTCCTTCCGGGCTTTCTCCACTCCACCACCCGAAGCGCCACTGCTCCCCACCAACCTTTTCACTGTGCTTGAACTGCTTCCAGAAGCGCTCAAACATCTCGGGATTCATCTTCTCTGGAAAGCAGGTCACTGTTTTTATATAGAGCTTGAGTATTCGCTCCAGGAAGTGGTTCACCTCTCCGTAGTCATAATCGTCGTACCTGGTGGAAAGTGAGCATCGGTCTGCAAGAGCGGCTAGCAAAAGCCAGCCTGGAAAAGGTCTATGCAGTATACCAGGATTACTTTCAGTGGAAATATATTTCTGTTTTATTATGTTATAACTGAGAAGATCCAAATAACATAATAAAACAGAAATACATTTCCACTGAAAGTAATCCTGGTATGAACAGGTGCTGAGCAAAGCTCCAACATGGCCTCTTCTGAGCAGATGAAAGCTTTCCACTTTAGACCTTTTGCCTGATGGTCCTCTTGACCCATTCTCCCTTTGAGGATGCCACCTACGCTGTGAGTAAGGGGCTGTGCACTTCCTCCCTTGGATCTGGACCACTCAAGACATACATCACTGCTTGCCTGCAGATTTTCTTAGCTGGTCCTGTACAAAACCCAAGACTTTCACCCAAGATTTTAACTCGATTATTACTCATTCTTTTTAAATATTCGGGTAATTTGCTGTTCTTGGCTTTTAATGTTGTGTTTTCAATGATGTAAGCCACCTTGAATCCTTTTTAGGAGGAAGACATATAAATAAGAAATGAAACCTGGCCCCAATCATCTGGTCCACCTCTCCATCCACATGGGAATCCAACACCGGATTTCTCATTATGAGCATCTTGTCTCCGACATCTAAGGAGGCCATGCCTGCCTGCCTGCCTGCTCCCTTGGATCCTGGCCACCACCACCACCCATCCATGCTACAGGATGCCTTGGTAGAACAGGAACACAGCTGGCTCCTTCCTTACCCCAAAGCAGCCGTGCACAAGAGCCGCAGGTGCGACAGGGACGGTGGGAGGCCAGCCCTGGGTCTCTGGGGGACCAGTGGCCTGGAAAGCATTCCAGAAGAGGGAGAAGTCGGGTACCTGATGCCAAACATGCAGTGGATGTAGTTCCAAATGCCGCGCTTGAAGGTGGCGTGTTCGCAGCCCTGCCGCTTGGCCATGGAGCAGCTCTGGAGCCCGTCCACCTTCCGGAATTTCTCATCAAGGAGGTGCCCGATGTCGGAGTAGAGCCGGTTCACTAGGGAGAAGCCGTGGTCCTCCCAGGAGTAGTCCTGCCAACACAGGGGAGAACCAAGTGGGTGGAGAGCAGGGCAGGGAATGGCAAGCATGTGCCAGAGCAGAGAGAAAGAAAGAAAGGGAGAGAGAGGGTTCTGTGCGCGTGGAGACAGAAAGAGGACCAGACAAACTCTCTCCGTTCACAAAGAAAGGTTTCTGGGACTCTCCTCGTCAGCCAGGCTCCAGCACATCAACAGCAGCAATACCCACCTGGACACGAAATACGGAAGGCTGGTCCTCATCACACTGAGCAAAGTCCTGGTACCCAAAACTGGGCTCCTGGACGTAGCAGGACAGGTCCACCATGCCAGACATTTCCCTCTCAAAACCTAGAGGACACAGACAGACAGACAGACAGAGAGAGAGGGTATTTTAGAAGTGGGGGAGAAAGGGGCACCTCAGGCAAGACCTGCTCTTCCCCTCCCCCCCCCGGAGGGGGATGGTGGCATCCCGGCTGACTCTTCCCCTCCCAGCCCTGGACCCCCATCAGGCCTTCCCAATGAAAACCACATCCATTAAAACAACAGCAACAACAACAACCAGAGTTTTGTTTGGGCTTTTTCTGTACAACAAGGCATGGGGGACACGGCTCATTTTAGCAAAGAATCACACCTGCACAGGAGAGAGAGCCTCCTGGGTTTGGCAAAAAAAAAATAACCTTGAAAACACGGGCCGACAAGCAGAATATAAAAGCCACCAAGAGACGAGGAGGTACAACCCCTGCCCCGTTATATTCTCTCTCTCTCTCTCTCTCTCTGACACTCAGAGTCAGAGGAGAGCCCAGGCACGGCGGGGGAGGCTGCCGGCCAGAGCCATTACCTTCCTCCCGTTCGGGCAGCCTCGTCTCCTCCCGGCCCTCCTGCTCCACGTGCAGCCTGTGAAGGCGCTCCCGGAGAGACTCCAGCTCCACACAGGAATCCAAAGACTGCAGGCAAAAGGAGAAAACACCTGCTCTGGCTGTCCTTGCCGGCCGGCCTGGGAAGAGATCCCACCCCCACCTTACCCTGGAGCCGAGCCACGGCCATGCAGGCTCGCTGGTGTGGCCAGGGGACCAGCTTCTTCTCGACCGTCCCCCCAGCCCGGGCCACAATGTGATGGTGGCAGGGTGTGTGTGTGTGTTCCCCCCCTCCACGCACCCGCTTGCGGTTCAGATGCAGCAGCTCCTGGCTGCAGCCGTTGCCAACGTCGCAAAAACACAGGCTCCCGGGGAGAGCCAGCTGAAGCAAGCCCCGTCCTTCCGGGCAGGCCTCCTGTTCACAGCCACAGCCGAAAGCAAAGCTGGCGAGGGCATGGTAGTGGGCAAGGAGCACCACGGCGTGGACCAGCTCCGCCAGGGACCAGCTCTGCTCACTGATCTTTAGCAGCTTCTGTGGGTCGGAGGCAAGCGAGAAAACCAGTGGCGTTCAGCCGAGCGGCTCAGTGCTCCAGTGGAGGAGGAGGAAGAGGCCGCCTTATCCTGCCCCATATCCCACCATCGGAAGACAACACCCCCCCTCTCTCTCACACACACACACATGGCCTCTGGAAGCCTTGACTGCCTCTCCCCTCAAAATCCAGTTCTCATGCCAGGCATCCTGTCCGCTGGGTCATTTCTACAAGGGTGCAGCTGGCATGCTTGCAACACAAAAGGGGAACTCCAAAAGGGAGACCCTCCTCCCCACCCCCAACTTTCCCCCACCTTCCAGGCCATGCTGCTCACCCTAGCAAACAAAGCACCTGCATGCTGACCCAGAACTCGGTCCCAGGAAGCGCTTTTTAATCAGCAGGTGCTCTCGTTTTGCCCTGTCCTCCCTGCGGCTGTGCAGGTTTTTTAAGTTATGGGATGCAGCAACGATGGCTAATGCCCAGCTGGCATCTGCAGCCCACTGTGGATGCACTTTAGGACTCAAGCGACCTGGATTCGAATCTCCACTGGGCTAGGAAACTCAGTGGGGAGCCTGGGTTTTTCTCTGTCTCCCCCACAACCGCCCTACATCGCAGGGGTGTGTGTGTGTGTTGTGAGGCTTCGGTGGACTAAAGAGGGGCAAAGAGGTCATAACTGTAGACAAGGCAAGATAGAAACATAACAGGCAAGACCCAAGCAAATGTTACAGGGGTGAAAAGGGCAGCCTCCCCCCCGAACCTTCTCTCTCCCCTCCCCCATCCCTGCCACCCCGGTTTCTTCCAAACCTTCTCCCGAGGCAGTGCCATCCGTTACCTCAATGTGCTCCTTGCCAACCAGCCAGGGTCGGTGTGCCAGGATCTTGTTGATTTCACTGAGTCGGCGGAGTTTGGTGGGGATGCAGTCCAGCCCTCTCAGCCACAGGGGGTCACCCCCCACCCGCAGGAATTGTACCACATGAAGGTTCACCAGGTAGTGACACCGATGCCGGGCGGCTGCCTGAAAGAAGCACATCCAAGGCCCACCATCACTGTCATCGGTGAGGACTAGAAACACCAAAACATGGCTATTATATATACTCCACCTATTCCCCTTTGCCATGGACCAAAGCAACCTCTTCTTAACACGCCTCTCCCCTCCCCTGAACAATCAAAGACCACCCCCACCCACCACCCCTGATTTAGCCCAAGCCTCTCCCCCTCTGCATTTGGGGGCAAGAGAAGATGGAGCCTAAGCCCTCACAGCTTATCTATGGGGTTAGAGTTGCCAGGAGTGGGAACGAAGCTCGGTGCGTTGGAGTGGGGTGGGCAGGAGAGGGTGGTTCTGGTCCACACTGAGCCATGCCACTCACTGGGTGACTCCCTTGGGCCAGTCCCTCACTCTCCCACCCTGACTTACCTACCTTGCAGGGCTGTTGACCGCATCGGGTGGGGAAGGAGAGAGAAAAAGGAGCAGGGAGGCTGCCTGGAGGTCTGCTAGTACGAGGAAAGAGGGGCTATAAAAGCAACCAGGGAATCAAGGCTCTCTCTGTGACTGCAAAGGCGACCTCAAGGACGAGCACTCCCTGAACCACCACAGGCGGCTTGAGAAGGACGGGAGGACGGCGGAGGCTCCAGGAGGCGAGGGGGACCCATCGGTGCGAAAAACACAGAGGGAGCCCAGCCTGCTGCGGTTGCTTCCCTGGTACATGCAGGCCAGCGCGCAGCTTGTCCGGAGGCTGGCCTGGGCCTCTGCGGAAGGACCCCACTACAGGCCACCACCCGGCCTCCTCGCTGATCCAGGTCAGCCCCAGTCCCCCCTCCCAAACGGGGGCGGAGGGGGCGGGTGGGCCGCCGGCTGGACCTCCGGAGGTGGCTACTGTGTGCCGTGCTCACCATGATGGCGATGTAGTGTCGGCAGTCGAAGGGCAGCGGGCCGTCCATGTGCAGGAGGTAATGCTGCATCCGGAGGAAGCTGTCCAGGTACTGGGGGTGGTAGCCCATCTGCTGGGCAAGGGCCTCCAGGCGCCCCCGGCTGGCCAGGGCTTTGACAAAGAGCAGCTGGGGAGCCCGGTCTTGGTCGCTGGCGCTCATTTTTGCCACCTGCAAAGTGGGAGGTGGGGGTGGGGGTGGGGAGAGGCAGAGAGAGAGAGAGAGAGAGAGAGAGAGAGAAAGGTTCCCCCCTGAGTCACAAAAGCAAGACACTTCAAAAGCCCGGGAACACTTTCAAGGCTCTGTTTCCGGGGAGAACTTTCCCTTCTTTGTGACTCATGCCTTTTGGGTTGAGGCCACAGGTCTGTACGTCCAGCGTACCTGGTTGTGGGAATGCAGGCAGAGCGAAACGAGGTACAGAGGAGGACAACTGCATCCTCCATGCGAGTAAAGCAAATAAATGAATAAATAAATAATGACTTTTCAAAGTGTGGGTTAAACGAACGGAGGCAGCTCCAAGGAGGGTCAGGGCATGAAAGGCTTGGCAATGAAGGCAGAGAAAAAGGCTTCCAATCATCATACATCCAATCCGCCCGCCCTCCTTTCAGGCTCTGCGCTGACACTGGATAGCCTCGATGTCTGAGAAATTTGGGGACACATAGGTTTGCTCTGAGCCTCTTCACCTGCTCAGAGTCAGTCAAAAACTCGATTTTCTCCACTCAGAGGCCAGCATCTGGTCTCAGAATCCACCCTCCTATAGCCCTCGACTATTCTCCATGAGCAAAAGCTGGATCCGTTATGGACTCCGTCTCGATGCACCCGTTTCCACAAGCCCATTTTTCTGTCAAGGAGGCGTTCTGCGTGGCCACGACACCCTCCCTGTTGTTGGAAAACACGGGTCAAGCCCTCCTCCCTAATCTCATGAATCTCACCAGCCAATACCGGTGAATCTGAAGTCCGTCTGGAAACACAGAAGGTTGTGTCCCCTCCTGAGCGCCACTTTTTAAAGGAAACAACTAAATTTCTTCAGACACCCACTTTTGCCTAGGCCAGAAGTCACCACAAGGAGACAAGGGTCTCGGAGGGACTTTTGGTGGCACACGGAAAGAGAAGCCCCTCCTGGAGGGCTGTGCTCCATCCTCCAACTTCTGCCAAGCCTGCCAGAATTCACCAGCAAGTTTTTGCACCCATCTAAAAACCCCTTGGGGCAGGATCAGTGCTGCAGAGTCAGATTCTGGGGTCTAACCATAGTGGTCTCCAACTGTAGGTCACTCAGGCATTCTTGGACTGCAACTCCCAGAAGCCTTCATCACTTCACTGTGCTGGCTGGGTTTTCTGGGAGTTGCAGTCCAAGAACACCTGGGTGACCCTAGGTGGGGAACCACCGCTCTCACCTACTTCTCATGGTTGCAGATGATTTGGCTGTGCAGACCGGATATCAGAAGCAATGTTCTTAAGCAGCAGGAGAGTTCGGCCTCCAGAGGTTGCTGGACTTTGTCAGCCCAAGCCAACTATGGGCAGGGCCGGGGGGGGGAGAGCATGAATTGTACAACATCAGGAGGGCCACAAGTCCCCCCTCCCTGCTTTGCAAAAAATGGCAGCTGTTTGTGTGCCAAGCAAATGCCTCCAGCTATGGAAAAGGCAGCAACAGTCCCGGAAACAGAGACTCGAGAGAGGCATGTTCCACCCATCTCACCTGATCTTGGAAGCCGAATAGAAGCCAGTCAGATTAGGATTTGGGTGGGTGGAGAGCCAGAGGAGACCCCAGGCGTCTCCTGAATCTTTGGGAAACTGCAGGGGCCCAAGGCTGATGCAACCAAGATCTGACTCGGTATAAAGCCACTTCTTAGGCTCTTATAAGACTGCATCTCCAGGCATCGCCAGTGTGACTTTTGCTAGAGGCAGCTTGTACACAGAGACACACCCCCTCTGCACATCACTAGGCAGAGAGGCAGCTGATGCGCTGCGACGCTCCTGCCAACCAAGACAGTTCGGGGTGCATGGAAAGTGGGGGTGGGGGCAGCTCTCCAAAGCGGATTGTAACGCCAAAGCGAGTTTTCTTCTGCTTGTTAAAGGCACGGCTCCCCCGAGCTCTAGTTAGGCCACCCCACCATTCTTGCTCATGCCTGTGGCAACAATTAGCCACAGGAAGGAAGGAAGGAAGGAGAGTGGAAAATCACTCCGCTCTGCAAATCCTCCTTCAAACGTGACGAGGCCTTAAAGGAACATTACTAAGTTCAAAAATAAAAGCAGCCTTAGGAAATGGGTGGAGTGGAAGCTCAGCACGCCGGCCCATACGCCGGCCTGCCTCACCGGGACCTCGGAGAGCCCAGCCTGGCTCCCCAAAACGGCCCGGGCTCAGGACAACAACACCTGCGGTGCCAAGAGGAAGAGCCGAGCCACAACGCTTGGCCAGGGAAACCCTGCCCCGTATCCCGGCCCCTCCAAGGCCAGGCCTGCCATTGGTCAGGGAGAAGCGGCAGCCTCAGGCAGCAAGTTCGGGTAGTCAGGGAGAGCCGGCTGATGGTGACTCTTTCATTCGTGGGGGGATTTTTTTATTGCCAGGGCTTGGGAGACGGACTGCATCTTAAGGGACCCTCTGCCTCGGCTTTCTTAGCGGTTACACTGAGCATCTTGCCTCAGCAACGTTGTCGGGGATTTGCCGTTCTACCTCTGGAATGAAAATGCCCAGAGAGCCCCGGGATTCCCCAAAACCAGCCCGGCCAAGACCCACGGCTGGAGAAAAAGGAGAAGATGGTTACTGAGCCCCTTTCCCAGTTCCACGTACAGGAGGAAACGGGCCTTACAGTCCACGGTCACCTAAATGGGGACAAGGAGAGAGGGGCCACTCTGCCCCTGACGCCGGCAGGTGTCCTTTGCCAGCAGGCAAGCAATGCGGGGGGGGGAGGGGGGTGCCGCCCTCCAGGATCTGCTGCCTGAGGCAAAGGCCTCTCTCTCCCTCCCCCCTTTCTCTCCCCAAGAGTAGGCGCTTATTTTCACCCTCAGGACCAGGCAGGAGGGGGGGGGGAGCCAGGCTCTCCCCCCTCTCTGCTCCTTTTAACCACAACCCCCCTCCCCAGAGATGCTGAATCCAGAGAGGACCCAGGACGATCCACCAAGGACAGTCACGGGCTGCCACCCCCCCCCCCCCCGCCCCGTTTTTGGACA